AGCAGAGAGAGAGAGAGGAGACAGAGAGAGAGAGAAGTGAGGAGCAGAGAGAAAGAGAGAGGGAGATGGAGAGAGAGCAGAGAGAAGAGAGAGAGAGATGAGAGAGAGAAAGCGAGAGAGAGAGGAGAGAGAGAGAAGGAGAAGTGAGAGAGAGAGAGAGATGCTTATATACCTTCTTTATATGCCCTAATTTGCCGGTGAAAAACTGAGAGACGCCAGTATCTGAACAGTACTGGGGAATAGTATTAGACAACAGAAATTACCAAATCGTCTAGATTTTTGCAAATTTAACCAACGTAAAAACATTTTTATCAGGTGAGAGTTTGAGGATATATTTAGTAACGTCAGTTCTTACTTTTAATGTAAAAAAAATGGCAATTTTTTTTTACAAATTTTACCATGGAAAATTCGTGACGTAGTCAATTTAAACAATTTTAATTTAATTCAAAAAATCATAAAACAGATAAAATCGCGCGGGAGTTGACGCGGGCCGCCCGCAGGTGGCGGCACCCTGCGCGCACGTACGTGTGCTCGCGCTCGAGGTCGGCGTGCTGCGGGTAGGCGACCGACGGCCGCTCCTCGACCGCCTTCTCCAGGTTGACGAGCATGTCCTCCAGCTCCTTCTGCTCGGCCACGATGAAGTCGAGTTCGTGGTCGAGCCGTTGCTGGTCAAGCTTCACACGCTCCACGTCAGAATTCAGAGCCGTGATCTGCGGGAGAATGAACGGAGGGAAGTGGTTTTAAACTAGTACGGACGACAAAGGAAAAGGAACGGCTATTGTAACGATAACGCTCGGTGCGTTTTGAGGAAAAAAACAAAAACAGCACAGACGACTAAAAAACACCTTCACCCGCTCCACGTCCGAATTCAGAGCCGTAATCTGCGGGAGAACGAACGGAAGGAGGGAAGTGGTTTTAAACTAGTACGCACGACAAAGGAGCGGCTGTTGTAACAATAAACTTTTTAACCCGCTCCACGTCCGAATTCAGCGCCGTGATCTGTGGAAAGCGAATGAGGGGGCGCCCGTCTAAGCGAAGTGACTGCCGCCGTCGTGGCGACCTACGCGCAGGATGTCAGTCCCGCGGTCCCAGCTGGTCTGTTCGCAATTATTCCGCGCATGTGGGATCGGAATCGTCGATCTTACAGCACTTTGTTGCTGAGCTGCGTTTTTTAAATGGTTTTTATCGCATTCAGTCGAACCCTAATGCCACCTAATGCTGCGGAGGGGGCCCAATGTAGGACTGACCCGGTGTGACGCCAATGTTTGTTGTTATAATCACACCAGCCACGTTTTTAAACCAGTACAGACGACATAGGAACGGCTATTGTTACAATAAATCTTCGTGCGTTTTGAGGAAAAAACAAAAACATCACAGACGACTAAAAAACAGCTATTGTAACAATTAAGCCAGGTGCAAAAGCAAAAACAAAAACCAGAACGGCCAACTAAGAAACAGCTATGGTAACAGCAAACCCAAGTGCGTTAGGAAGGAAAAAAACAAACACGCATCTCACGAGCGAGTCTCTCGAGTAAGACAATCGCTGGCACCGACGCGGCGTCACGCATGCTAGGTGCACTCGGAAGAAAAAAACCAGACGTACATCTTACAATGAAGTAGAGTACACAATCTATTATCCGAAACCCTTGGGACCAGACACGTTTCGAAATTCAGAATTTTTTCAAAACTTTGGAATGGTAGTACAGTAAAGATATACATACTGTATATCCTGCAACTAGCCAGTACTAAAACCAAATTTTTCAAGAGGCCAAGTGCTGTACCCGTACAGTACAATATGTATGAGTAATGCCAAACACATTAATATTTCTGCAGTGAACCTTCTGCAGCCAAACGTGAGCTTTGGTGTGCAGACGACCTCCACGGGAAAAACTTTCGGTTTTCGGAGCTTTTTGGTTTTCAGAATTTCGGATACTGTACAAGCCGTATTTTTCGCGTACAGATATTTCCGCAAATTCAGACTAGACGGACAATTTCGCGAGTGGTTAATTTTGCCGTCGGTGAATTACGTATTATTCGGTATGAACTATTCGCGTGTTGTTATTTTCGCGGTCGGGGACGCGTTCGCGAAATTCGCGAAAATAAAAATCCACTGCGAAACATACAGCTTATACAGTAATAGATTGTGTACTGTACAATAGAGAAGCGGTGCAATCGCTGGATGGAAACGGCGATCACTCGCTCGTACCTTCTCTCCGTTTTCAATGAGCAGTCGATCCCACGCGTTGACCTGCGTCGCCTGGTTGATGAACACCTTCTCCTGATCCTCCAGTTCCAACGTCCACTTGTTTATCGCCTCTTCGAGCTGTCGGTAGTTCATGGAGGGCGCCACCGTCGCGGCCGTCGTCCTGTCGTCGTCAACGATGAGAAAAATTAGCGCGGGTCGAGGCCGCCGCGAGCGATTCGAGGAGATCGTTATCTTAATTATGGTTTTATATTAAGTTATCTATCGCTTCGTTATCTATCAATTTCGTTAAGAATTTTGCGTTGATTTTTTTTCGCCTCTTATTATCGTCTTATAGTAAATTATCCATCCCTTCATGATCTATCAATTTCGTTGAATATCGAGAATTTTGCGTTAATATGTTTCGTCGATGGTGTCCATATATCACGTCATATATCAGCCAAAAACAGACAAATTTGCCTGAAGGGCATCTTAGGTTATCATTGGGAAAACAGTAGCACATGAGCATGATGAACGACTATCAAGTGGGAAGCGCTGATGTCGAATAGGCAGTAAAACACTTCCTGTTAACGACACTAGGGGGCGCTCACTCACGTCGTCGACGTCACCAGCGAAGTGTTGGCGGTGGCAGCGGTGCCACTTGTCAGCGAGAATCCGCCCGGCGCGGTCGTGGTGGCAGCACCGGTCGAGATGCTGAGAGGCAGCGCGGCAGCAGTGCTGGTCGTCGCCGCGCCTGTCAACAGAGGGCAGCACCATGCGTCACGAGCCACGGTCGACCACGAAGACGCGAGGGGAGGAATCGCGAAAAGTTACGAACCGAATACTCAACAGTTTCTTTCGCAAAACCTCTTAAAAGTTAAAAGGCTGTTTTCTTCAATCTTTCAAAAGTTTTCTCTTCTTCAAAACTTTGATTCGTCTATGACCGTTGTCGGACGTTTCCAACAAAGCCGATACGCAATCTTCGCTTAGAAGCTTATAAACTTCGAACAACACCAAAAACCTTACGATCTCTCGCTTAAAACCTCGCGAGCCGGACGTCCGACGCTCTCTTGTCTCCTCTCTATTTCATACCTGCGTAGGAGAATCCAGGGGGCGCAGCCGTTGTCGCAGGTGCCTTCCTCATCCCGATCATCAACCCGCCAGGGGGCGCCGCCGCTGCCGCAACCCCAGCCTGCCCGATCGCGGCAGCAGACGGCGCCACCGTCGCCACGGCTCCTGTCACGAGACCGCCCGCGGTGCTGCCCCCTAGTGTCAACGCGGCGGGCGCAGATGGCGTGACGGTGGCGACCGCGGCGGCGGCGCTCGGCATCATGAAGCCACCGGACAGCTTCGGCGTCGTCACGGCAACGGCGTTGTAGCCGAAGGGCGCGGAGGCGGCACCGCTCGCAGCGGTGACTCCTCCGCCGCCGCCCCCGAGACCGAAAGCTGCAAGAGAACGAGATGATTTCTTTAAGTCGTTGTAGTGACATTTTTTATATTTTAGATAATTTTGGGGACATCTTCGACAATTTTGGTGACATTAACGACAGCTGGACTCCATCGGAAAGTTCAGAAAGTAATTCTCCTAGTTCTTTCCACAACTCTTTTTACTACTCTTATTCTTTACTAGGGCTGTAACGATACACATTCCTCTCGATTCGATCCGTATCTCGATATTAGCCTCTCGATTCGATTCCTTCGATTCGATTCCCAAAATCGGATCGAGGAAAGAGAATCGCAATTCGATTCGATTTCGGTGGATCGTTACAGCCCTACTCCAGTACTACCCCAAGTACAGTTTCCACTACGGACGGATAATGATTCCGGACACTCACCTGCACTGCTAGCTGGCACGGTGGTTTGTCCACCCAAACCGAACCCGCCACCAGCTGCTGCTGCTGCTGCTGTAGAGATGGGGCCGGCTGTGGGCGTCGCCCCAAAACTGAAGGTCGTAGGGTGTACGGACGCAGGCGGATTCGAAGCGGCGGCAGCCAGCGAAAATCCGCCCGCACTAGGTGTAGCAGTAGTGGCGCCCCCTAGTGCTAAACCACCTGCAGTAGGCATAGCAGTAGTGGCGCCCCCTAGTGCAAAACCACCTGCAGTAGGCGTAGCAGTAGTAGCGCCCCCTAGCGCAAAACCACCTGCAGTAGGCATAGCAGTAGTGGCGCCCCCTATTGCTAAACCACCTGCAGTAGGCATAGCAGTAGTGGCGCCCCCTAGTGCAAATCCACCTGCAGTAGGTGTGGCAGTGGAACCCATCTGAAATCCACTTGATGGCGCTAAAGTGCAAGACAGAACAGCAATTCATGTACAAACCAACAGTATGAGAAACTAATATTTTTAACAGTAATGTGTATGACTTCAGTGCATTCCAAGGGGATCGCAAGAAATGTAAATTGAGTTATTCACAGCAACATATCGCTCTACTAGTTAACGACTGAAGCCAAGTGGATGTTAGATTTTAAAACGAGCAAAGGAAATAGTTGCAAAAAGCCTATATTTTAAAATTCTATTAAGAGCCTCACCAACAGCTGCGGCAGCTGGTGTTGCAACAGCATTAGCAGGCCTTGCTGAAAAACATAAATACAACACAGGGTTAGACACTAACCATTTTAGTTCACTAGTCCACAGGACTAGTAAAAGAAAAAATGCACTAGTCCTTCCAAGATTCTACTAGTCCTGCCGAAGGACTCTTACTAGGCGCAAAGCGACGAGCATTGTGATTTGCGGGGAGGTAGGTGGGGTAGGAGGGTGGAGCCCCCCTTCTGCTAGGGGGTACAGGAGGTCTCTCCCAGGGTACAAGGGGTGTCCCCCATAAAGGTTTTGTAAAAGACATTCAATTGTATAAAATACATGTAACTTTGATATGGATCATAAGATTAAAATTTAAATTAAATTAAATTTTAATTCGAAAATAAAATTTCGGCCTACTTTGATGAGAAATCTGTGGATCCGTCACTTATCACAGAAAGGAATTTGGCCTCATTTATAGCTACAAACTGTTCCCGGCGCCTTGTATCGGCTATCGCCGTAATGAACCTCTGCAGGCTTGTCGTGAGGTAAGTGCTGCCGACATCTAACCCCCTTGGCCTTGTCAAGCTGGCACAGCTTGACTAATAACTCGGTGTAGGGCCTGCCGTTTTTTCCAATAGCATGTGCATTTCTAATGGGTTCGCCATTTACTAATCGCTGAGATAGATGGCGCGCGTGCACTGTCGCGTATCACTGCTCATACCCTCACACCCGCGGTGGCGTCCTTACTGGTCGGCTGCTACGGGCGACGGAAAATGGGCCGCGCGGCTCGCAAAGGTCACCATATAACGTGTATATACGGTGAAACGCCAGACTATCGTGGTGTGGTCCCGCCTATGGTCGCCTAATGAGAGCGCCGAGTCACGGCTTCTGTTTTGAGCATGTTCAAAGCAAACCCAAGGTTCGGGCGATCCTGAACGCTGGACACGCGTGAGAACGCGGTGTGGGGGTGGAGGTGGTTCGCGTAAGGTCGCGAGACAGAGCGTCGTAACATCTCCATTAAGACGTATATCCCGCGCTAGCGAAGCACGCGTGGCCAAAGACGCTGCGAAGAATGGTAACATTTTCAACGGACGAATTCATGATTCGTGTCTCATCCGATCGCCGATCTGTGTTCAATGCCGAATCTGTCTCGCCGACGCGCAGCGGCCTCGCCTCTGATAGCTAGTTCACTTCGGCATCGTCTTCCCTACTCAGTCTAAACGCACAACTATACCAGTTGAAATTTCCCGAAATATCTAACCAGCTTAGTATAGATCCGCCGTGAGTAACTGTCGTAGAAACGCCGTGCAGGTCGCCGGTGCATTCGCGATACACCGTAGTAAGACGCGTGTAAAGAACCCCAATTGAGCGTTGTGAAGAGCGCTGCGGGAACGCCGTGCATCGCCGTGCCCAAACCCATAGATTCTCAATTAGATAACGCCATAAACGCGGAGAGTCGTGCGGCGGCGCCGTGAGACCGCAGGTATAATCGCACAGGTCGCGGTAAGAGCGCGTTTTTTTTAAGTTTGTATATTTGTTGGGACTTTTTCTCGGCGTTTGTGCTTTCGCGGTATTTTGCCGCGACCTTGTACAATTTTCTGGTCGCCGTACGGTCGCTGGATGGTCGCCGCGTGTTGTGAGCGGGATAAATCATATTTGGTCGTCTAGTTACATAGGTGAAAACCGTAAATGAATTGGAAAGTCAGACGTGTGGCAAAGTAAGGTGCAAAGACACTTGGAGGAACATGCTTGATCTCTGCAAAGTGCTCAATCATCGTTACACGTGCTTGTGGCCGTGGGCTGACGTTGATTCATCGTTGTTGTTGCGGTGCTTAGTGTCATCTGTACACGTGCTGCGTGTGCACGTGACTAGCGGTGCGGTTGTGCGTGAGCATATTGCGACGGTACAGCGCTGTCGGTGCCGTGCGATAGGCATCGTCCACGTATTTTGCGTTGCGTTGTGCGCGTGGACACGTGCGGCGTGCGTGCATGTGTCAGCTGTATCACCGCTGCGTGTGTGCGTTGCCGTTGTGTCACGTGTGTGTGTGCGTGCGTGTCCACTACCACGTGCGGGCGTGCCCCGTAGTGTGCACGTAAACACGTGCGTACGTGGCGTGTGCATGTACACGTGCTGCGTAATGCACGGTACACGTGACGTGCGTGCGTGTCGTGTGTGGACTTACGTGTGCACATACACGCCTGCGCTGCGTGTGCATTTACAGGTGCGTGTCGTACGTGGCACGTAACACTGTGTTCGTGGGTGCGTGTGCGGCGTGCTGTGTGCGACGTCACGTGCTGCGGGCGTAGCAGTGTGCATCGTCCTATCGTGCGCGTCGTGCGTTGCTTGCCGTGTGCACGTACACGTGCGCGCGTGTGCACGTACACGTGTGTGCGTGCGTGTGCACGTACACGTGTGTGCGTGCGTGTGCACGTACACGTGCGCGTGCGTGTGCACTTTTATCACCTCTTTTGATCGCCACACACCATTTCAATCTCAGTTCTGGGTCACTTGGGCCCCCACTGTTTCGTGAACAGGCATGGTCCTTGCATTTCTTTTTGCTAGGATCTTTCTGTGCCCCTCGGAAGCATCATGCGCGTTAACAGTTTCCAAACGATAGTTTGTAGTGCCGGTGAAAAAACTACCAGACATACAGCCTGCACCACAGGTCATACCCTTGGCTGGGTCATACTCTAGCCACGGGTATGACGATTTCCACGCTGGCTGGAACGCACGCATCTTTTTCGTCTTATCATAGACACGCTGGCCATCTATTTTCTCCTCCTGCGATTTACGTTTGGAAGGTGGAGGGCGAGCGCCGTCCAAATACTTCCACATAACAACCTTGATGTTAGTAGTTATACTATTGGATAATTATGTACCTACTATTAGCTTCACTACTATTTGTATCACTGCTTCAAGTAACACACGCATGCGATGTGGTTGCGATGTAAATACCTTGCTATGAGAGCGTACATAACTGATTAGTTGCGTTATTTCTACAATCAGACCGTTTGTTCTATGTCAACAGCTGTCAAGCGATCGATCCATAGACTGGGTTCGTGGTCCCATTGTTTTTAACAATGTTTGTACTGCCGTAGTAGGGTCTAGCATGCTTAGAGGGGAAACTTGTTAATGGGACAAGTTATATATAGCTCTTTGGATCTTGGATGAGAGACGCTGCCGCCGGTAAAATCGATGGGAAATTGGGACGGTGAGGGACGGGGAAATATAACTAGTCCCGCCGGACTAACTGCTATGGGAATCTACTAGTCCTTCTGATTTTTTACTAGTCTCGGACTAACGGACTAGCGTTAGTGTCGAACCCTGCAACACATGAGTCTAAATTTTCATAGCACACTTACTGAGAACCATTTCCTACTGAAATGTTCCTTAAATCAATAGACAACATCACACAGCGTGTACAATCAAACCGGTACTACAGGAAATCTTCACAGAAGGGCCACTTGTCTATAAAGGACAATTTTGACATTACCCCCCCCCCTCCGAGTTTCAATTATAGAGTGAAACTGCCTCTATAGAATGGGAACATCTATAAAAGACATAAAGACATAAAAGATATCAAAGACATCTATAAAAGCTTTGGTATTTATTGTTGAGTGACCCACTATATACCGGTATGAATTTATACCTTGTAACTAACTCAATAAAATGTGCTTACCTCCTAGCAATCCCCCACCAGATGGCGTAGCTGGAAACACAATACATAAAAACAAAATTAGATCATAAAACTTGCTATCGGGACGTAGAGATTAAAGTAATTATTGCGAGAGTTTTCCAGTGTTTTCACCACTTTCATGACACCTACCGTTATTGCTTGAATAACAGCAATTGTCTAGAGTAACAATAAAATGTCTTAGAACCTTCGTATTTACCTAAAGCTGCCAGTTTCAAACTAATCGTTTTTGTAAACATTCGTTTTCTGTCATCTTTAACTAACAGGAAGTATGGATTAGCTTGTGGCGCCACCGCTTATCTGCCATAGACACAGTACAGGCACGCACTTGTTTTCAATTCATCACCGACACAAATACAAGTTTACCAATTCTGCCATTAGGCATTATCGCGGCACGATACAATGCATTGCTGTTACGATGTGTTCATATCCAATTTTCTATGCTATAACTGCATAAAATCTTAGTATTTTTAATGTTGGTGTAATCAGTGATATTTTCGCTGTCAGGTGAGACTATATTCAGCTATATTTAGTTTTTCTGAGCAAAGATCTCGCAATACAGGCTTTAAGTAAGTAGATAATAGAGTATGAAACACGTAACGAGTATGGTAATTAATGAGTATGGTAATTGTAACAAAGTCTCCCATGACTCATGCATGCCCACCACTATCACACCAGTCTATTATTACCATAATGTGTAATCAGGGTGCAAAATTAACGCGAGTCCAGAGTCAATTTCAAATACTCCCTGATTTACTGTCGGACTCCCTGATTTGCAGGAGTCCGTGCGACTCCCTGAAAATTCTGCTATACTAACTAGTTCGTTCCAGAGCACGGACTCGCGGAATTACCGTATTTTTTCAGCAAATCTTTAATTTTGAACTTCAGACTACGGACTCCCTCATTTTGCTGCAGACTCCCTCTTTTAGAGGGCTGGGAGCCCTCCCTTGTTCAAACGTTAATTTCTACCCCTGAATCACCATGCCAAAAACTCGGCAAAATAAAATGTCAAAAAAGAATTCCATACAAAAACTGAATCCGGTCGCGGGGGCAGCACCGCTGGCCGCCTGTCTGAACGAGAAGATGCTAGATGGCGCCGGTGCAGCAGCGCCGGCAGCCGGGGTCCCGAAACTGAAGCCGGTGGTTGCTGCTGGTGTCGGTGCCACAGTCTGACCCAGCATTCCTCCTGCATGGCACAAAGAAAGCTTTTATAAGAGCAACATCTACCAGCAAAAATACCTTCGATCGCACACCAAAGAAAAACCGTTCGACGACTCAATTATACACATGCACTCGGAATCACTTCGACAAAATTGTTCGAGTATTTACTCGATGCGAACTGCACATTCGATGGTGGCATGCGTATTAAAATGAGATCACATGCACGATATAACTGAGAATTTTCTGCAATCGGCAGAATTACCAAGTGATAATCCTGCCGTAGTGGTGGCGGAGGGTTGTTGGTTTCCAAATGAGAAACCTACAAGTGCAAAGTTCATTTAGATAGGTGGAGACATTGCAGAAATACGCAACACCATTCTCGAAGCGAGTTCAGATGCAGTTACAAACCCAAAACTTAAAACGTAATCCCATAAAATGTGATTACTGTGAAAGAAAATAGTGCAGTTTGGCGAGCAAGAAATGTACTTTTTAACCATCGTTAGAAAGTGCACGTCTATGTCTACACAATAGCTAGTGAGTTTGGAAAAGATACTTACGTCAATGCAAGCTAATATTTGTGAGTTTAAATTAGATATCGAGTTATAACTTATATATTCTACAAACCTGCTGCTGTAGTAGCGCTCATAGGGTCTATGTCCCCCAGGGTACTGCCGGAACGTACCCTGGGTACGGTCCGGTATACCGGAATGTACCCTGGTAACTATCTGATATGGTTAGGGTTAGGGTTAGGGTTAGGGAGTAGGCATAGGCGACTCCCTAGACTCGTTAGTGGAGTAGGCGAGGTACGGTCCGGCATATTAGATAGTGCCAGGGTACATTCCGGCAGTACCCTGGGGGACATAGACCCTCTCAGCTGTAGTAGCAGCCGCCTGTGGAGTCCCAAATGAGAAAACTTGGAAGTGCAAGAAAATCATAAATAGTCATCAATGGAAACTAAATACCTTACTAACAAGTAGTAGTAATGGCGGTAGTAATACCAGTGAACAAAATTAACGTAAGTTACACTGCAGAGTGCTACACACTTCTTATAGTGTCATGTATCTGCAAGTCGATATTTATTTTCTGTATACCTGGTGCTGTGCTGCCACCTATCTGTGGGGTTGAGAAGGAGAATCCTGAAAATAAACAGAATTTTTCAAAATTCAAATAAAATGCACCATAATACGTAGCAATTCTTTGACAACACATCCGGATATTTGTGCGACAATCCTACTACATGTTGTGTATTAAACTTTTACATTTTTCGTTAAAAGAGGGGCAGTGACGGTTTTAGAGCGAGAGAGCGTTAGGGATACTGTTACTTTCTATTATATAATTTTTTATCTACGTTCGATTCGACATAATCGTTATTTGTGTCACGTGTGCGAGCGGAGCATCGAGACGTCGAGAGACGTCATCGCAAAAATCCAGACGCATAACCCTAAGCCTAGGCCCCTATGGTCTTTCGCTACCCCTTCAGGATTCACCCTTCAAAATAATGTTTTCTGCATCATTGTATTTTTTTGCAAATTATGGTGATAAATAAATTATTTGAATTGAATTTGAATTGAATAACGATATTCTGCTGGCTGCTTGATAATGCGTATCTACTTGTGGTCGAGGAAACACCTCGTGGTAATAACTCGTGATTTGTTAGACATTAGCGGTTTGTTACTGACCAGTAGCAGGTGTGCTTGCTGCGGCACTGGCGCCAAACGTAAAACCAGGATTGCTCGTTGATGACAATGATGTAGCGTCTTGTGCTGGTGGCAGTGCCAGTGGTGCAGCCGCTGCCGGCTGGCCGAACGAAAAGCCAGTAGCCTGACCGGTACCGCCACCAAATGTGAAACCACTGGGTTGATTTGTGCCAGACATTGCGACTATATAAAGAGTTCACTGTTTGCTATGCTGTTTGTTAACTTAGAATTTCACATGAACGTAAACGAATTACTCAGTTTGATATTGGCGCAGGAGATCTCCACGATTTGCGACACGATATCGCAATGCGAGTTTAAAACGAAGTTTGTAAATAAATTAGATAGTACGTGTATAACAACTAAATGTTACTCAAAGTGAAAGTGATGTAATATTGGTTTTTAAACACGTCAGTAAGTAAAAATACGGTAATAATAGTAAATCAGCAAACGATTTACGTTACAACTTTCCGCTCCTACCGCACTCTGTCGGTGACCGGAGAGACTAACCGAAATTGCCATGGCTGCAAAAGCTCACTTACAGTTTGTTTCAAAGACTGTTTTAGTACGAAATGGTGACATAGAAGAGGCCATGAGATCACTGAACAGGTACTAGACAAAGCTCATCGATCAATCATTGATAATACTGTGCTGTATGATGTATCATGTACTCAGTATATACGGTCAATAATTTCCTCTTTCTCCACTCTCTTTGGGGACGTATCTAGTCTAGTGCTAAACTATACCAACCATGCATAGCTATGCTAGCTGCATATTAGCTTTGCATAGCATGCCATACTAGTTTATGGCTAACCATGGGGACTGCTGTTTTGCCTGGCTTTGGTGCAAGTTTTAATTGCGCGTTGCTACGTCACATCGCGATCACTGACACTGGTGTTTGTACATGATCGTGTTTCAGGGTGATGGGGTCCGAAGGGCTGCTGGATATCATCAGGAGAAATCGATACTACGAAAAGCCGTGGCAGGAGCGAAAGCGGGTCGCCTATGAGAAGTGCAAGGCCATCTACAATTCCGAAATGCAGCGCAAAGTCGCCTTCGTCATGCGAAAGCATCGGACTAACCCGTGGCCAAACTGACGATCGCGATTGCAGTATTGGCAGTGACACATCCTAGCAAAGCACACGAAACCTAGTGAGCGCAGATGTACATTAGGTCGGCATTATCACAGACAGTTCACATGAAGATGTATCTACTGTAAGACCACTCCTGGAATAACATGTGCTGCCACTGCCACTCACCCACATGACATTGTTATTTCATTGCATTGCAGTTCTGAAGTTCTCTAACCTGTACACACTTCTTGGATCAGTGTAGAACTGATACATAACAGCTTCAATACTTGGAACCCTTGGCAAGTGTCAACAGGCTAGTCTAAAACCGTATAGTGTGTCAAGTGTGCTGTAGGCTGTGGCGTGAAAATTATAGTTTGTAGTGCTCAATGACAATAAAATACATTCATATTTCATATTACATTTGCGATTGATTTACGGCATACGCATTACAAAAAGACACATACAAATATAATTAGTCAAAAACGTGTAATAATTTATATACAACAGAGCAGTCATACAGCAACTGGCACCAGTTTTAATTATATTGGACAAATTACATGAAATTTTGCACCACATTTGATATTTACTGCAAGTCTATGAAAATTTATTAACCGCTTGCTCGCCTCGAACACATCAGATCAAAATCGACATTCATCCACTCGCTGGTAATTAAACTGGATCCCGTGATTGTATATTAAATATTGATTCACTGACCGCACAACCCCATTACTATTAGTCTGCGCACGTTGACGCCAAGGATTTCCCACGATAGATGGAGTGGAAATCTGTGTGCGGCATACGCGCGGTTAAGAGTTAATAATACCTCTATGTTATTAGCATATTAGATATTATTAGTACTTGGCAAAGTCGATACGATTGTCGAAACAGATTCTCTGTGCCCTCGGACCCTCCCCGCCACCTCCGGCCGTCCACGCGCGCTCGCGCTACGTGGTGGCAAACGGCTGCAGTACAGGCCCTTCATGTAGGCGAAGATCTCTCTTCCTCCATCCTCGGACTAGGCTTAGATACAAATATCCGGATATTTTTGAAGATATTTAGAAGTTTTCGGAATATTTAGAAAATTCCTTAATATTTAGAAGATAAAACAACAAAGATTTGTAAGGATGAGTCCTTTTCTGTTAAGAAAAACCATCCAGTGGTGCAAACTGCATGCAGTGCCCCTTCGTACACTCAGGATACCACTGCCACAATGCTAGCACTATTTTTAAAGTGGGCGGAGCTCTGGGGAAATCCAGCGAATGGAAAATCGTAAACAGCGTATGATTTTTTCGCACACAATAAATATGTTTAAAAGACATTACGTTGAAATAACTGAGATATTTAGAAAAAATTTGGGGATATTTAGACATTTTTTGGAGATATTTAGAGATTTTTTTGGAGAATTTCCGGAAACATATTTAGGCCATTTTTCGAGATATTTGTATCTAAGCCTACCTCGGACCCTCCTCCACCCCCTGCCACCCCCGTGCACTTGCTCGCTCTCGCTACATGGTGGCAAACAGCTGCAGCAGGCCCTTCACGTAGGTAACAATCTCTCTTCCTCCGTCCTCGGACCCTCCTCCACCCCCTGCCACCCCGCGTGCACTCGCTCACTCTCGCTACGTGGTGGCAAACAGCTGCAACAGGCCCTTCACGTAGGCAACGATCTCGCTGCCTCCGAGCTTCGACTCTCCGTAGACGCGGTCGACGAAGCTGATCGGGACCTCGCCGAGGCTCATGCCGAGGCTTCGCGCACGCACCAGCATCTCCATCTGGAAGACGTAGCCCTTGGAGATGCAGCAGTCTACCAGCTGCTGCAGCACGTCCCTCCTGTACAGCCTGTAACGAGGTGTGAGACGGATGGTTCGTACGTCGTTAGTTAAAAGTTAAATCCTTCCTGCGCCTATATGGCGCATAGGGGCGGTGCCTATCTCCGTTTCAGTAACCCTGAGGCCCGCAGCTGGTTTCACAGTAAATGCTACAGTAGGGGGTTAGTCCACTGGTAGCACTGCGAGTTAACTTGCCACACTCTATCTCTATTTGCTGAATGCTAAGCAGAGAAGCCGTGTGTACCATTTTTCAAGTGTTTGGTATGACCCGGCCAGGAGTTGAACCCCCGACCTTCCACATGCGAGACGAGCACTCAACCATTGAGCCATCGCCGCGTACGTCCAGTGAGAGTTGATATTCTCTCGCCGTCACCATCGCAAGCTTTGCATGAATAGGATTCTGTAGTTATGATTCTTTAACTTCGATTCTTTAGTTATTCGAACAGTCCGGAGTTGGGCTTGTAATTACCTCAGTGCGAATAAACTTGTAAAATTAATACACATACGTACTAGTGTATCATATAAAGACAGATATGTAGTGTATCGTATATATACGCACACGTGGTGTATCATATAGACACATACTACACTACGTGACACTACACTACATAACACTACATGTACATTTTAATACGATCACAATGGCACACCATGACTTCATTACGAGTTTACTATTTGAGTTGATGTTGTTAGCTTAGTTGTGCATTACCACCGTGTACGGACTGGTACCTGAAACTGCCGGTAAGATCAGATGCTCCCGGTCGCAGCAGAATCTGAGCGATGTAGTTCGCAGTTCGACTGTATAGAAAAAAAGCCTAATTAGTAGTTATCCCACTCAAGCCATAACTACCGTGAACATTCTGTTTGATATTGGATAATTTCAGATTTTGTAAGATGACATCACCTGAGTTATAAAGCATAAGTTTATCCCACACACAAGTACATATTCTTGCAAGACAACCAAAAATTTATTTTTATTTTTATGCATTCCCAACAGAACACGGGGATGGAAATGGCTGTGAACTAGAAAAGGGTGTTCAGACCTGATGAATTTTCGCTTCAGATCCCAGCCATATACTCCTCCGGACCCACTGTATCGTGTCCCTGACACGATATCATAGTTTCCCTCGTGGAGCTTCCTGCAAAAATTTGATATTAGATAAATGCAAGTTGAGAACATGATATTAAACTAATAACTTTTTTCACTCATCTTGAAAAATATCCAGTCAATTGACGCATATAGGTTTAACAATACATACGATATTTTACTTCACATATGTACTTACTCGATAAACTGTGGAATGAACTTTGGCTGAAAAACAAATAAAGACACACCGTGTCAGAATTGAACGAAAAAAACCACACTCTGTACCACGACAGCAAACGTTGGGAAAAACGGCAGAACAATTTTACGACCTCGACAGTAGTTAACCATTCATGGGATCATTTTTAAAATGGTAATAACGAGAGGTTGGCAAAGAACAGTGGAGAAAGAAAGGATTACAATACCATTTAAAACATGGAACGAGGCCGAAAGAGCTGCCAAAGATAGAGCGTCATGGAGAAATTCGATTTCCAGCCATATTCTCCACGAGGAGAGAAGGAACTAAGGCCATAATAAAAATATTGTTTGTTTGCCCTCACCCGACCGACCCGCCAAAAAGGGGCCGACTCAATTTTTTTTATTGATCTTTCCCTTTTTTTTACAAATTGTATCACTGTACATTATATAAATCTGTAGGCAATACATTATATGTACCAAGCAAAACAAACATTCAACATAAAAGGTATCTCCACACAAGCACACCCGAGCATGTAGACACAATTTGTAAAAAAAGAAAAGAAAAAGAAGCCTACCTACCTACCCCAAACTTTTCAGCCTGGGTCGGGTCAGGGCAAACAAAGATTTTTTTAATTGTGGCTTAAGGTAGTAGTGAGGGGTTGGTACGTACGTGATGAGAGAGATCGGCGTCCATAATGATCACATAGTCCCCCGTCGCATGCTTCATGCCGTGAATGTATGCCGTACCTACGCAAGTATTATTATTATTATTATTATTATTATTTTATTTATATTGCGCCTTTTTACATAAAATGATCAAAAGCCCAGCACATCAATGTCACAAACGACTGAACAATAAAATACAATAATAATAACTGTGTAAAGTAAACAGTACTAAGACAAGTGTGATCGCTTGCCATCCACGATCAAATAAAGCACGTCCCGATTTCATCAGATTCGATAACGATCGCGATTTTGACCATCATGCCAGGTTCGAATTTCTTGATTTTTGAAGGTCTTGTTGGAGAATTACTACACTTAGTTCTGTCCGTGCCTGTGCATAATTCTGTTATTTGATAATACTATCATTTATAAAAAAATTGTTGTTAGATAGATTATTGGCTATGTTATGAAAATGACAAGATACCCGCTATGTGGGTAGATAACAGAAATATTTATTGTATGACTAGCGCCACCTACATGCATGTAGAGACAACATTCAACTAATTACAGAATAGGCATTACCTAATCCAAGCTTTTTGGCTCTTGGTCTTAGCAGCTGAAATAAAGAAAATTTGGTGTGCATGTAATGTCATTTAATAACACCCCTTGTGCGATTGATTTATAAGAAAATAGCTTCCCCAGGGTATCAAATATAGGCCTATCTGTCAAATATAAAATTCCAGTTTACACATGTACAAAATAACTTTAGGCCAAAATTTTCAAATTACGAGCACATCACTGCATCATGATACCCATGACTTCATTTATAGGTTAAGCATAAATTTTGATGTCATAGTTTAGTGAATGAATGAATAGATGATGTAAAGAAAGGAAAAGGGCAATATTACTATCTTGTCTTTTCCGTAAATTTCCTCTAGCTGCTTTGCAACCTCCAAAGTGCCATCTGGGGACCCGTCGTCAATCACTATGATCTCATAGTCCACCCCACTGCAACGTAACAAAGAATTAAGACATTGACGAGGAGATAGAGAGAGAGAGAGAGAGGGGGGGGGGAAGAGCGAGAGGGGAAGGAGGTCGGTAAAGGAGACAGTGAGAGAGAAAGTGAGAGGAAGCAGGGAGATAGAGAGAGGGGAGAGAGAAAGAAAGAGAGCTGGGACAAGGATAGGAGATACGGTAAAGAAGATTTTCAAAGCTTGTAAGTTGTAACGAAGCTTGGCAGTAGAAAACTAGTGGGGCGAGGCAAATGATGACGCTGTGGCTATATGCCCGGCAGCCGGGCACAGTCTTTGATTTCCTAAATGCCCGGTAGTTCCTAACCCTAACCCTAACCCTTGTTTACTTGAGATAACGCTGAAAATTAAAAACTGCCGGGCATTTAGGAAATCGAAGACCGTGCCCGGCAGCCGTCAGATATACAGAGTGCCTATATGCCCGGCAGCCAGCATATATCTGACGGCTGCCAGGCACGGTCTTCGATTTCCTAAATGCCCGGCAGTTTTTAATTTTCAGCGTTATCTCAAGTAAACAAGGGTTAGGATTAGGGTTAGGGTTAGGAACTGCCGGGCATTTAGGAAATCGAAGACCGTGCCCGGCTGCCGGGCATATAGCCACAGCGTCAGGTATATGCCGGCTGCCGGGCATATACTGATCATATGTGATTATGATATAACCACTCTGAAATGATGAGGATGTGGCGACGAACACAAGTGAAGTGGTTCATGATCCACATGTCCTTCTTCGCCTTCATTTCTAGTCAATGTCCTCCACATCTACGCCGTCTGACAAATCATTTTCACATGTAGCCGGCTTCATCAACATAACGTGACCAAGGAGCTATATATATAGTTATATTTAGCTCCTTGAACGTGACGTGGTCGTGGAGAGATCAGACTGTTCACAGTACAGTGTGAGTGTACCAACATTGAATTTGTAATTTGTATATTATCTCATTGATCAATGATTACACTTACAGTGAATTACATTTACACAGGATCAATACATTTGATTACAAGCACGATTAGGGAAATAATATGGGTTCACCTCTCGTCTAAGTATTTAACTATCAGCCATATGATGATGGGAAGATTTTCTCGTTCGTTGTATGTTGGTAAAAGTATAGAATACTTGTCAACTTTCCTGCTGCCTGCCATCACGCAAACAAATTGCAAAATTATCTACCAGATGGCGCTGTGTGACCAATGAATTGAGCAGCTGTTGATTTGGTATACTTGACTTGTGATTAATCATAAAACTACTTCACTGTGATATTGAAGTTAATATAAAATGGTATGTATAGTACGCACGCATGTACATAGTTATGGCCATGATCCACGTCACAACCGTTACTATAGTCTCTGTCCGTAAGTTAATTATTCTTGTTAAATTAAGTCTAAGTTGTGTCGTTGTAAATAATTAATCTTCTTCTTCTTCTTCTCGGGTCACTACACTAGGCCTACACTCGGCCCAGCCACTGCAGCACACAGGACTTGGCACGGTGGTTGAAAGCCTCAAGGTTTCCAGGGCTACATGGCTCTGGCAATAGGGGGCATTTCAGGAGATGTCCCATAGTCTGGTCCTCCCCGCAGTCGCATTCGATTGGGCCATCTTCAGCTTGAGCCCCAATTCAATTTCAAATTCAATTTGCCCCATTTCTGCATGAGTGCCCGGTGCAAATCCACTTTAGGCACCTTAGGTATCACGAAGTGATGCACAGATTTCTGTGTATCATCAACTGATGCACAGAATTTCCGTATATCAAGGAATGATGCAAAAACCCTAACCCTAACCCTAACCCTACCCTAACCCTAAGCCCAACCCTAACCCTAACCCTAACACACTTCGTGATACCTAAGGAGTAAGGTTATACTTTATGACTTAGGGTTAGGGTTAGGGTTAGGGTTTTTGCATCATTCCTTGATATACGGAAAGTCTGTGCATCAGTTGATGATACACAGAAATCTGTGCATCACTTCGTGATACATAAGGTGCCTAAAGTGGATTTGCGCCTGAGTGCCCTACATCGACCAAACCCTGTCCTGAGGCGAGTTAGGCATAACCACGTCGGCCATACCTCGTTGGCTCCGGGTGGGAGGGATTCCTGGGGTCTGAGTGAAAGCTTATATGTTGGCTTGCCTGAAGATGCTTTGACCATTGGGCGATCCTGTAGTTTTGGAGGTTGCCATCCAGGGGTTGAACCGCGTGGATGAAACTGTGCCTGGACTTTAGTCTCTTCTTTACTGTTTCATGCTGGAAGAGGGGGTGGCGAGGGTCATTTTCTTGGTTAAGTTTCTCTACTTGGGATGAAGCCATTCGTCTAACGTGCGGAGGAGCGATGCCACAGAGCAGGTAGAGGTCATCTACGTTGGTTGGTCTTAAGCATCTAGAAATGGCTCTGCAGGTAATGTTCAGAACTGGGTCCATTTTTGCAGCATGGGGCGACCTACTCCAGACAGGGCACGCATACTCAGCCGCAGAGTAGCACAGGGCGATAGCAGTGGTTCTGATTGTCTCGGCGTCTGTTCCCCATTTAGTATTTGCCAACTTCTTTAGAATACTGTTTCTGGCACCCACTTTGGTCTTTGTCTTGATGATGTAATTCTTATAAGTTAGAGAGCGGTCGAAAGTAACACCTAGGTAGACTGGGCTATAGGTATGTTTCAGCCATTTGTCATACCATTTGTCTTTCAGTTGGCGGTTCGCCTGCTTGTTCTTTAGATGGAAGGCACTTATTTGAGTTTTCCCGGGATTGGCTCGTAGATTTTTTGCTGTGTAGTAGGTGGTTAGGCCTGCGAGAGCATCGGTGATGGACCGTTCGGCTTCGCCAAAGGACTGATTTTGTGAAGCAATGCAGAGGTCATCTGCATAAAGGAAACTCCTGGTGTTTGTGTGTACTGGCTGGTCATTTGTGTATAGATTAAAGAGCAGAGGGGCCAGGACGCTTCCTTGTGGGAGGCCATTTTTCTGTCTACGCCATCTGCTGCGGTTACCATTGAGATCCACGAAAAACCGCCTATTTGCCAGCATATGTTCCTGATTAGTTCTGCTAGTCTCACATCCTTTACTAGCTGGTATAATTAATAATAGTAATATCAGGAGTAGATAATAGAGACATATCTAGAGACATCTAGATCTAGAGACTAGTCTAGAGACATCGTCTAGAGACAGATCTAGAGACATCTCTATTATCTACTCCTGATAATATACTACTACTAGTACTAGTACTACTAGTTACTAATAATACTACTGCTAATGCTAGTCGTATTTTTTGCACTTGTTGCTCAGCATGGCCGGTTAAAAGTACGTACAACCGCGGAACAGCAGGAAATAAAGCGCAAGGAACGTGCAGAAAAGGTGAAGAAGTTCCAGGCTGGATTACACAGGGTTTTCCAAAAGGTGTGCTCACTTATTATTATTATAACACTTGCTCAGCTCCACTCAGAAGTCCATTTTTCTCAGAAGGCTATTGCCATGGGGTGTCGTCCGTCGTACGTCCGTCCGTCTGTCCGTTCGTCCGTCCGTCCGTCCGTCAACATTTGGCTACGGTCAACGATAACTCAAGAACCGTTTGACTCACATGTTTCAAATTGCATGCAGTTGTTACTCCTATGGGAGAGGTTTGAACGTCCTATTTTGGAGCACGCCAGTCGACCTACTTTCGAGCCACGTCCACTTTTTGGCAAAAATGGAAATGGCCATAAGTCAATTCAGGTTCAATGGATTTCGCTCATTTCTAGTATGTGAATGAATAAGGACTGGCCCCAAAACATATCACAAGTGTTTTGATTTTTTTTTAATTATGCAAATTAGGTAGATTTTGGCAATTTCATTATGCATTTCAGTGTCTGGCTACGGTCAACGATAACTCAAGAACCGTTTGACCCACATGTTTCAAATTGAATACAGTTGTTACTCCTATGGGAGAGATTTGAACTTCCTATTTTGGAGCACGCCAGTCGACCTACTTTTGAGCCACACCCACTTTTTGGCAAAAATGAAAATGGCCATCTAAATTCATTCTATTTTGTTAAATTTTGGTATATGTGAATGTGTAAGGCTAGCCCCAAAGCAGTTGTTACTCCTATGGGAGAGATGACAACGTCCTATTACGTTTATTTCGTCTAACTGGTCAACAACTCTACAATCATACCTATATACGTGTAATATTGTGTTTTAGATTCTTCGTTACAGTAATTTGACTGGAATATATTTTATTGTTTTTAATTGCGCGATATTCGAAAACCAAAATGGCCATCATTTAGGCGTAGCGCCATCTCTCGTCAAGATTTCAGACTCAGATCTGAAACATTTATTTTCGCATCAAAACTTATGCATATATCATTATCAAGAGTATATAATTGGAGATATGCTATATAATGGGAATTCTCCCATATATACTCTTGCTTTATATATCCCCCCCTCCCTCTTCTATCACTCCCAAGGTGAGCTACAGTGTCATTGATACTTTCATTATATTTTAGTAGGTCTCAGGGGAGAGATAGTGAATATAGAAATAAGTTGTGGATATAGAAATCAGTTAACCCTAACCCTAACCCTAATCCTAACCCTAACCCTAACCCTAACCCTATCCCTAATTCTAAATTTAAAAAAAAATAGCCAAAAATAATAAACAATAAAATAAATAAAAGTAAAAATTAGCCAATCAGAGCCGTTTTTATTGGCGCTTAACGCGCTCTCTAGCGGATCACTATCTCTCCCCTGTGCAAAATTTATTATATTTAGCATGTATGACTCGTGCATATATATGGTAGATCTGTACGGCAGGGATTTACACTGTCTTATTTAAACATCGGAATCCAATGACGTTGTTATAGCCAGATCAATGTCGATACATGTCGATGCCTTGGAGCGTCTTTAGAGCGACCCTGATGGTTTTTTCTCTGCATGTTTCCGGCAGCGCGATGCGGGAGAGTTGGACGCAGAGGCCTTGCAGATAACCGCCCAGCTGCTTGCAGGCAACCCAGATGTGTCGACGCTGTGGAACTATCGCAGAGCGGTGCTGCAACACTACATCGATACGAAGTGAGTCCCCATGGAATATGCCTCTCAAGAGGTTGTTCCTGGGGAGAGATCCGGATCCTGATCGGAATCGAATTCGTGCATAGATTCGTATTTTGTAATCGTGTTTCGTCACAGAACTGAGCCGGACAACATTTGTATGGTTTCTCCCCAATATCACTTACTATCAAGTAGCCATAAAACTGCGTGCTTCCTGCTGGCTCATTGCTTACTTTGACAAGTAGAGCTTACTATGTAGGTCACACATATGTGGTTTCTCTCTCCCTTTCTCTCTTTCTCATCCCTCCCTCCCTCCCTCTCTCTCCCTCTCTACTTCCCTCCCTCCCTCCCTCCATCCCTCTCCCTCTCTCCCTCTCTCCCTTTCTCCCTTCGCCATCCCTCTCTCCCTTCCTCCCCGTCCCTCTCTCCCATTTCCCTCCCTCCCTCCTCTCCCTCTCTGTCTTTCTCTCACATTCTCTTTCTCTTGCTTCCTCTCTGAAGTATTTTCTCATTATTTCCTTCTACACAAGTGCCAAAATTCGCACGTTTCGCACCTACCCCTCATATGATTCGCCTCCTCTCTCATACACCCATCCCCGTAACACGATCCACATCTGTTCGTTCTCTCGCCGCGTCGCTCATCTTCTCCCTCCTCATCATCATCGTAGGAGCGAGGATGAAGTTCAGGCGGCGTGCGTGGAGGAACTCGACTTTCTCGAGTCGTGCCTGCGCGTCAACCCCAAGTCATACGGCGTGTGGCACCATCGCGCATGGACGCTGTCCGGCGCGCCGCGGCCTGACTGGACGCGCGAGCTTCAGCTCTGCGACAAGTTCCTCGAGTACGACGAGAGAAACTGTGAGTGCTTCCTCTGACGACGAGAGAGTTTTCAGAAGAAAAAAAAGAGACAGAGTTTTCTGACCCTTGCGGTGTTGCACTTCGTTAGCCTTCTGGTCACGCGGGCCTTCGTTAGTCCTACGGTCGCTAGAGATTGTACTTTATATTTTTTAGATTGTATTTTTCTATCACAAATCCCCTGTGAAGTTCCACTACTTTGTACTATAATATAATAATTTTTTCTGAACCATCGTAATGCTTTCTAAATCGCCGTCATACTTTCTGAACCATCATACTGCTTTCTGTACTATCGTAACGCTTTCTGCGCTTTCCTAATTCTTGCTGTCCTATCGTAATGCTGTCTGTTCCATCGTAAAGCATCCTGTAGCTTTGAGTGTTTATAAGAGCGTGAACTTCAAGGGCATAGCCAGGAATTTGGATTGGGGGGTCCTCAAGCGAGTAAAAAAAAAATTTGGGAGTTAAATGTAAAAATAGTGCTTTAAAATTAATTTAGACACTGTTTTGTTGACAATACTATTTCTTCTGCAGATCTTTTTTTTTATTTTTGAATTTTTGAATTTTGTTTGAATTTTGTTTTGGATTTTGATTTTGATTGGGGGGGTCGGTCCTAGGGCCCCCAGGACCCCCCCTGGCTACGCGCTTGGTGAACTTGCTGATCCTGCTCTTACTCTCATGCTGCAGTCCACTGCTGGGACCACCGCAGGTTTGTCGTGAAGTGCTCCGGAGTATCCGCGGAGGCGGAACTCGAATTCACGGACACTAAGATCAGCACAAACTTCTCCAACTACTCATCTTGGTATTACAGGTAATGCACAGCTCCTACTTCTACGTCTGCTTCTTCACCTTCCTACTTCTGCCTCTTTGCCCTTCTACTTCGACTTCTTCACCCGTTTACTTCACATTAAAGTGATTACGTCACTGGAAATAATAAAATTAAAAAAAATATTTCCACTTTTTCGCAAAATGTAAGTAATTCTGTTCACTTTTTATGGTTAAATTGCTGCAATATACTTCCTATTTTACTATATTGTTCGATGAAAACATACACTCGTGACTCATACATAGCCAATAGCAAGCAATTAATGTTAGGATAATAATATCAAATCGTCCAGGTTTTTTGGATTTTTAGCTAGTTGAGAAACAATCTTATCAGGTAAGGATTTGACGATACATCTAGTTCCGTTAGTACTTTACCTTTAATGTAAAGCAATGGCAATTTTTTTTTACAAATATACACCATAAAAAATTTGTGACGTAGTCAATTTAACGGTGCTTTCTTCTGTTGGCTTCCAGGAGCAAGTTGCTTCCCATCGTTCATCCGGCAACGGATGGGAGCGGGAGGGTGGCAGAGGCTGAGCTACTGAAAGGTAATGCTGGTCAGATGCAGCGTATTAGCCAGCGAGCCATGCAGCCGTGATTTGCACAGTCAGTTTTGAAACTGCACGGCCTAAAATGTGTAGCACGGCCTAAAATATTGATCTAAAGCCGTGTACATTTGTAAAATTGCACTCCGAAATATTTTTTCTGCACTCCCACAATACTCATTCCTGGCTAATACCCTGGTCAGATGCTGCGACACTAGAATAACGAACTAGATTAATCAAATACCAAAGACGAGGTAAACTAGCTCGTGTTTAATTTCAAATTTGTGATGGAAACAATGCGAGATTCGTTTGCAAATCATTGAAATTTGCAAGAAGTTGAAAATCGCGAATGATGACTTCGTATTTTTATATAATAGATTATATTACGGCCTAACGAAAATTCGTTCTATATAAAATGGTGTATGGCATAAAATAGTATAACTTTACTATGGGGGTTTTACCAGACGTTTATTTCATGAATTGCAGAGTTTCAGCTGGTACAGAATGCTTTCTTCACGGATCCGAATGACCAGAGCGCTTGGTTCTACCATCGCTGGTTGCTAGGAAAAGGTAAGATCCGATTACATTCCTGCTGATGCTAATGCATGACTGAATGATGCAAGGCTAATCACATTGTTGTTTCTGTCACCAAGACAGTAATTTCTTTGTTTACTGAATTGGGGATAAATTGGGTTGTTGTTCTTCTGGCGTTGTAGCGAGTGGGTTTTTTGCTGCGAAAAATGCTGGCTGACTTTTAATTCTGGATGTTAAAGTGATTACGTCACCGTAAATAATATAAAAAAAATATATATTTCCAGTTTTTCACAAAATACAAGTAATTCTGTTTACTGTTTATGGTTAAATTGCTGCATTATACTTCCTGTTTTACTATATTGTTCGATGTGAACATACACTCGTGACTCATACATAGCCAATAGCAAGCAATTAATGTCGGGAACATAATATCAAATCGTCCAGGTTTTTTGGATTTTTAACTAGTTGAGAAACAATCTTATCAGGTAAGAATTTGACGATACATTTAGTTCTTACTTTTAATGTAAAAAAATGGCAACAAACATTTTACAAATTTTACCATCGAAAATTCGTGACGTAGCCAATTTAAATGTTTGCAGGTGAGCAGAGGCTAGCGTTGGATTGCATACATATCAGCAGAGACCCATGCCGTGCGAGTGTCAGACTCACTAAACCAGTGAAGGTAGGTCGAAATAAATATTCCAAATCGTAGAAGCTAGATCGAAATAAATGTACTAAATCATTGAAGATTGTATATATACTATTTACTAAACCTGTGAAGGTAGGTCGAAGTAAAAGTGTTAAAACGTAGAAGCTAGATCGAAATAAATGTACTAAATCGTTGAAGGTTGTATATATATACTATTTACTAAACCGTGAAGGTAGGTCGAAGTAAAAGTGTTAAAACGTAGAAGCTAGATCGAAATAAATGTACTAAATCGTTGAAGGTTGTATATACTATTTAGTAAACCCGTGAAGGTAGGTCGAAATAAAAGTGTTAAACTGTTGATGGTAGATCGAAATAAATATGCTAAACCAGCGAAGGTAGGTCAAAATACACAAAGCATTGAAGGTAGATCGAAACAAATTTGGTAAACCAGTGACGGAAGATCGAAATACATATGCTAAAGCATTGAAGGTTGGTCGAAATAAATTTGGTAAAATTTCACCCATTCACAGCACATGCAGTCTTTAACCGATCTTCCTCTGCATATTACTCCAGTCATGACTGTGGCAATTTCACCGGGACTGTATATATACGGGCGGCACTTGGGTTTCACGACCTTGTTTTTTTACAGGGCCACGACCACAGATGCACGTTGAAGGTTGGTCGAAATAAACGTACTATGTAAATAAATCTTTTACAGTTGGGCCACGACCACGTCAGCTTGAGTATTTCTGTTGACGGCAAGCCGGTTGAGGACTGCCGCTGGAAAAACGCGACGCGGGGCAGCGACTACGGAATGCTCTGGGTATCCTTTTGTTTATGGAGCAACCAGGGTAGAAAATACACGGGAGCGATGAGCGATTCGCTATTCAAACTTCCGAAATCGCTCCCGTGAGTCTCAAAATAGCTCCCGTAAAATTTTTGACGAGAGCTATTTTTCCCACATACTTGAAAAAGAGCTCCCATGAAAAAAAGTCATTTTTTCCCTGGCAGCAACAGTGTATTATCTTCCTCGCAGCTTCTCAATTTCTCATCTGGCGCCAGCGGAGAGCTAATTTCTTTATTTTTTTATCAATCATGGTGCAAATTTTTGTTTAATGTGCGTAATTTGTCGGCGAATGTACGGTCTGCGTTACTCAGTCCTTTCATCACGGGGAACCTTTAGAAAACTTCCTGGAAAAAACCCTGAGAAATAAAAAGAAAATCCGGAAATTCCGCTGAGGAAAAAGTGCTCTCGTCTCGCGGGAGCCACGCCCTAACGACGTACCACCTTAACGACGTGCGCGTGCCAGACGTACGATGTTCCGCGCGGGACCCTCACAGAGCGAGGCGAGCATGTGATCACGGCGGAGCTGTCGAGCGGCGATAACGACGACGACGACAAGAGGCTGTCCTTGAGCTGCACGCTGCCGGCCGACCGCGGCGAGTGCAAGATGGCGATGCGGACGTCGTTCTGCAGGTACTCCTTAGAAAGAATAGAAAATTTATCAAAAAAGGAAAAGAAAAATAGAATAAAATACGATAGATCGGAAAAGAATACTGCAGGTATTCTTCACAGGTCGCATACGTGGTTGCAGAGTTTACCGTAAAAATACCTTAAATTTCGGTTGAATTCGCGCGCGAGACCATCTTTTTCTCTAAGTAAAGTGTAATTTTATAATTTACAATGCCTAATTTTTGACTCGCCTTGCCACGACAGAAGCATTGCATAAGCAATGTAAGTTCCGTATCAATCGTAAACCAGTAGCACTATACAATACTATACTATACAATACTATACTACCCAACCTCAGCCTCACAAATACCCCTAAATTTTGCGTGAATTCGCACGCTAAACCGCAGGCGTTTGTGTCGGCGATAATTAGCGATCCTCGTTCGTCCGCTGCTCGGCAGATCTCGGATGACGGCGGCGAAGACGGAGACGCTCACCGACGAGCTGGAGTCGTGCAAGCAGCTCGACGAACTCGAACCGAACAACAAGTGTACGTCTTCATCGCCGCGGCGACGGCGGCAGCTGCGGCCGTCAACGTTCCGCTCATATACGTTTATTATGGACATACATGATCTTGCGGTTTCAATTTCGGTTTGCGGCCCGTAACATTTCGATTCGGTTTCGATCCGTCGTCTCGTTCGTGAGGAACGTTCCGCAATAAACAACAACAAGTGTACGTCTTTATCCTGACGTCCCAGCGTGTCACACCGTTCATTCGACCGGTGGCCGCCTTAATTGGAACAATTACGTCATCGTTAATCTAAATCGTCTTTAACGGTCAAAATTGGTTAAAAAAAAATTTTACGCAAATTTGTGTGTCGTGTGACATTTTTCGACCCCGCGACAGCGTGATCGCTCGCGTTGATTCGGTTCACGGCCCGTAACATTTCGATTTGGCTTCGATCCGTCGTCGCGTTCTCAAGGAACGTTGACTGATGTTGACGAGCGACGGAGGTACGTGGAGACAGCGCGAGACGCCGTCACGAGGGGATGCCTGCTGTCGTTTCAGGGGCCCTGCTGACGATTGTTCTCTTGATGAGGGCACTGGACCCACTGGGACGCGAGGCGGAGACGCTGGACTACCTGTCGCAGCTCAGCGAGGTCGACCCCTACCGCGGAAACTACTACCGCGATCTCGGTACGCGAACTTGGTTCCTCCCCCTCTCCCTCACTCCACGCCTCCCTCCCTCAGCGCAATAATCCCTCCTTCTACGCAATCCGTCCCTCCCTCCCTTCCTCCTGCTGAACTACCTGTCGCAGCTCGGCGAGGTCGACCCCTACCGCGGAAACTACTACCGCGATCTCGGTACGCGAACTTGGTTCCTCCCCGTCTCCCTCACTCCACGCCTCCCTCCCTCAGCGCAATCCCTCCCTCCCTCCCTCTACGCGATCCGTCCCTCCCTTCCTTCCTCCTGCTGGACTACCTGTCGCGGCTCGGCGAGGTCGACCCCTACTGCGGAAGCTACTACCGCGATCTCGGTACGCGAACTTTGTTCCTCCCTCTCTCCCTCACTCCACGCCTCCCTCCTTCCACGCGATCCCTCCCTCACTTTGCGTGCTCCTTCCCTCCCTCCATCCCTTTTTTACTCCGTCCCTCCTCCCTCCCTCCGCTCAACTCATATACAGTAACTAGCTGCATAGTTGGGAAGTTAGGGTCTCGTTTGCTGGTTATTCTTCGAGGATTACTTGAAGCCATCTGCTGGCAACCGAGGGTAGTCACTGCCAGAGTGTTTTACATCCTATGTGGTTCTTTTACATTCCCATCATGGTGTATACTGTTCACAGGGAGCAAGTTCATCATGGAGAATGTTCTGGAGCAGCAGCAGCATTTAGAGGACAAGGTCGCGTTGAAGGACAAAGGCTTAACGGCACTGTACTACACTGAATACCTAGCCACAGTGTCAGAGGTGAGGCAACATGAACTGTGGTCAGAGATACGACTTATTATCTTACTAAATCAAAGGCGTTGTTTATTATCAGCTATTGTTGTTTATGTTTAGGTATTGTGTAGCACTCTAGACAGTTAATTACAACTCGTATTGCAGTTAAATCTCGCTTCGAACAAGCTGACAAATGTCAGCCAGTGCTGCCATCTACAGTGCGTTACCAAGCTTATACTGGATGACAACGAGTTGGAGAGCTGTGTCGGGCTGGGGCAGCTGCCGTTGTTAGTGGAGCTCTCACTGCAGAACAACAGTATCCTTTACCCATGCAAAGAATCTGTCTGCATCAGCTCGTTCCACGATCCCACATACACCATAACACGAATTTCAAAACGTTAAATAAACCCAGCTCATATATAGATCTGTGAAGTTTGCAAAAAGAAATAACATAAAGGAAAACAATTGATAATTTCGCGTAAAGAAATGGCAGTCTGTTTTGTTTCGAGAAGGGACAGACACATAATGACATTATAAGTATCCTTGACGATCTCACAGAGTTGTCCACCGTCGATGCGGTGGCGCCACTGTCCACGTGTCCTCGGTTGGAGAGGCTGGATCTTCGCGGGAACCCGATGGCGAGCGATTGTGCCGTCGTCGAGAGCGTGCGAGCCGCACTTCCACAAGTTAGAGAGCTGCTGCTAGTGTGAAGCCGCCTCCCCCGCCGCGTCGTCGGGAGAGGCATCACGTGTCGACCAAGAGAGGAAGAAAGAGAAAGTGAACTAAATTCACGGTTGTTTTTAAATTTCTGTGACAAGGTCAGAGAGTTGCTTGCTGGTGTGACGACGCCTCCCCCGCCGCGCCGCCACGACGTGCCGAGAAGACGTGACGTCATCCACGCAGCATCGTCGGTAGAGGTTTCGCGCGTAGAGCGAACGAGAGAGGAAGACAGACCTGCCAACCCTTACGATTTTTTCGTATTCCTTACGAATTCCATGATGTTTCTACGAATGTACGATCAAACTGAAAAACTTACGATTTTTTACGACTTGTGGAAATTAATGTTTTTTACATTGTGAGCCGAGAAATATCTGGCGATTGTAGGCGCAGCCATATTGGATCACGCGTTCACGTTGTTCTCGCGTGATCTAGAGTTAGTCCCATCATTCATTGCGCGCATAACATACAAACAAAATGGCCGCCTGCTGCAAGAAAAGAAAAGCCTTACTATTTTCATGAATCACAGGTTGGCAGGTCTGTATATTGCTATATCACGTCCGTCTCACACACACAGGTGCTTGCATACTGTGAGAACATCCACGGAAAGTGGCACTTCTCAGAAGTGCGCGCCATCTTCTGCCGCCAGTACCTGCTGAGCGGAAGAGGACGCGACGTAAACTTCACGAGGTTGTCTTTCAATTTTTTTGAAAAAATTATATTTTTATAATTTTTTTGTGTGTGTTAAATCTTTGGGTTTCTCGGTGGTTTATTTCGTTCCACGATCAGTCGGTTGTTTTTCTTTCCCGATCGTTTTATGAGCAGGTATCGTAGCAAACATGATACCAACTGTAATCATGCATGAAAATTATAATGACTATAAAATACAATATAAAAAGACCATGTAAAATGAAACGAATCTTGTATCCACTTGTCCACGTGCTAGGCAATGAGCTTTGCACCCTTCCATTTCATATTCTGTATTTTCAGCATTGAAATGAATTCTAATTATTGAAATAAAATTCATTCATAGTATTTCTTTCCTTTTAACATCCTAGACCTTGGATTTATCATATCTAGACCTTGTGTAAATAAACGTGTGATATGTGTGTGCATGCAAGAGCGTGTAGCAGTCCTAGTATTTGTAGCTGTAGTAATGCCCAATGATGTCTGTAAGCTTGTCTGACGCTAGATTTATGGAGCTCTTGAAGTTCAAGTACAATATTGCTAAATCGAGCTGAATAGCTAAATAGAGCTAAAAATCGATGTATAGCTTTTTATACATAATATTTGCTTTTGATTGCATTAGAAGCTATATTACAAATTTAGTAACGGTCGTAAGTTTTGATAGTGCTTCATGTGGCTATAAAGTTGGCCAGCTGCCAATAACATTCCTTTATAATTACAAAAAAATATTTGGAAAAATCATGCTAAACGTACATTAATAAAGAAACGTTCGCTCGAACGATATCTTCGTCTTGTTTTGTTTTCTGTTCATGTTCATGTTCAGAGCAGTGTTTCGCTGTGTCTCTCCACACACTGTGTCACTACACCTTCTCTTGGAGTTGGTGGCGACATCACGACCCCACCTGACATAGATGCTTCCTCATTCACTGCCTGCATCTGCATTAGAAGGGTTTCAGTATTGCTATACTGTCCTGGTGCGAACCATGGCACATGAGATCTCCAGTAGTTGAGCTAGATAATTTTTGTGCATCTATACTCGCTAATTAAGAAATTATCAAACTTATTTGTAATGTGTGTGTGGATAGCCAAGTAGGAAATCAGCGAATGAAATCACATTACGATCTGTCGGTGTCTAGGAGTCAACTGTAAGTCGTTCAACAAATTGAATAGCTTCGCTTATTTCTTCACACATAAAAACATAAAACAAAAGTTTACTATAAAATAACACCTTTCTTTGGTATATAAACAGCGTTGGAATAAACAAACCAATAAGCGACAATGGGCCAATGAAAATGGTGCACTTCTGACTAAACGTGAAATTCCAAATAGGGTCATTGTAGTCAATAAAATGGTAAAACCATTTTTTTAACCAAAATAGCTGCACAGTCGGTCCTGCAGAGAAGTTGACTACAACGTTCTGCTCTGCGTGTGCTTTCCTTATGCTAAACAATTTTATCAAGAAGTTTCGAGTCGCACAGTTCCCATTTCATCAGTGGCTACGCTTAAAACGACAGCACGCGTTTCATTCACAAAATTTTAAAAGTGCGGTTGCAGCAACGGTTGCGAGAAAAGTGAAGCCGCAATCTTGGAACAACCATGAATCTAAAAGTTATCGGACACATTCACAATACCTGCCACCCTATCAGTAATACATTGACGTGATAGCACTATACTACTCCTAATAATATAAGTACTTGCCGATACATAATTAAAACAATTATCTATATGATTAACACACGTATAATATCACATGTTACAAGTATATATTACATTACTCTTAATATACAGCCTTGGAACTATAGAGTTGGTCGTGTTGTTACTATAGGCGTGCATGACAGTGAGTTGAATATGATTCAGGGACGTTTTCTCCTCTCCAAGTATTATATCGCAATATCATTTCGTTTCGAAATTCACAAAGTGAACGTCGGCCCACTTCTCTTCAAAAATGCATCTATGTTCACCGATAGACATTCTGTGTGTACTTAAATGCAAATCTCTCTCTTGCGTACGACTTTCTATTGTCATCTCCTATAAAAATGTGCATTTTAGGGCATTGCAAAGACCCTGACACCACTATCAGAAAGGATTCAAGAATATCTCTTTAGATCAGGGTGAAGGTGACAATGGTTCACTACTACTGACTAAGAAATCAGCAGTAAGGATTAAAGTATCAATCTAGCAACTTACCGCTTAGTAGACTGAATTATCGGATTGGCACATTTGTGCCATTTGCATGTTGCATGTTCTAGAGGAATATTTTTTACCCAGATAATAGAATTACAAAGTACGGTCAAACCTGCTTTAGCGTACACCTCTATGCAATGGGCACCTGTTCTTGGTGGTCACCAAACACAAGACCTGTCTATAAAGGACACTTAGGAGAACTCTTTTGAGTGGCAGTTATACAGCCACCTGTGAAACCACCTCTATAAAACGGACACTTGTCTATAAAGGACAACTCGGAGAAATATCACGTGTGACCGTTTGCCGTTACCTACATGTTCGACTGCAGTTCAGTCAAGAGTCGTTCAGTTTCGTGGAATCGCTCACATTTCGTAATGATCACACTATACCTGTCGCTAAATTCATCCGATAATAAATTAAATCTCGTCGCCATAATAGAGTCGATTTCAGAATATATTCGCAAGCAACTACGGCGCACGAGCATGTGACACGGCATGCACAAGGCAGTTGTCGATTTCATATACAAAACTTTACAACTCTATTTACGTTTGTTCGCGAAGCACCGATCCCTTATTACATGTACAGACCCCCCCTCCCCTTACTCCTGCTTACAACAACCTACTGGAGAGATTAGGAGGATAGATTGTAGGACCTTCGCTGTGTCATGGTGCAAATTCATTCGACCACAGCAACAACGAGAGTCCTGCGAGACTAGACTATAAGATTCGACATTGAGCAAAGACATTTCATCACATCCTTGTGCAACATTCCCAACATTTACAATGACGACAGCTGCTCTCTGAATCTCAAAGACACCGAAAAAAACCTTCCCCTGAAGATCGGACTCTGTGTGCTTGCTCGGTCGGCCATCTTAAAATTACTAAAAAAATTACTGCGTTTTCTCGTGAAAAATATAGACGTTGCTGTACACGGCAGCCATCATGGCCGCATATCTAGCCATCAGACCTTGAGTTGAACATAATGTCTGTTCTTGTGTTGCCGCCGGAACATGATTTGTTCGGCGAACTTTTTGAACTCTGAGATGAAGAATACGCTAGAGGTAAGGCCGATGAGAAAGAGCATATCTGAAACGAAAAGGGAAAAGATTATTAGCAGAACTTGCCTCAACTGCAGAAATATATACGCATCTATTAATTTAGAGTGTATTTCCTATACGATGTACATGTATGGTATTTCTCAACGTGGTATTATTACTAGTTAGGAAATTAACAATAACGAAACCATCGCTCAATACAAACTAATTATAAATTATTCGAAATTACCTCACATCTACACTTACCGTTCAACGTTAGCGCTTCTGTCTGAAAAACTCTCTGTAACGGCGGGAAATAAATGACTAGCATTTGACCAATGAGAGAGCCCGACACAGCAAGCAGAAACATCTTGTTTTTGAATAGTCCAATCTGGAACACCAGCTTTTCCTAAAAAAAAACATGGAATGTAAACCTTACCAAAATATAAAAGAAAGAAAGAAATTTAATGAAAACTTAATTAAAACGTATATAATACAAAAGTAAATATAACAGAACACCAAACTTTTGTAACCAATTGTAAATTGATTATTAATTGTAAATTATTTTACATTCAAATTTGAGATAAATTAATTAATTTTTTTACCAATTTCAAGCTTTTTATAAATAATCGTGAAATGGGAAGAATTACGACGCATTGTTACTGACCTGGGATCTACAACTCAGGGCGTTGAACATGTCGAAGAATACAAAACAAGTGAACGTCATCGTCGTGTCTCGCGGAGTGACGATGTTGTCACTCAACTGCAATGCAATAATCGATCATAATAAATAGAACATCCAACACCATTACATCTATACAATATATAATAATGTAACAGCAATAATGTTTTGCAGATATGGGTTGTATCATATCAAGAGTACATAATAGGAGATCTCCTATTATGTACTCTTGATCATATCAAAGATACTAGGAAATATAGATTAACTCACTCTGATTAATTCTCAATGATTCGTTCCATTATGATTGTTCCCCTAAAATAATTATTAAAATATTTTCTTTGCAATAATTATCATTGATGTTACCATGAATGGAATTCTTTTACATTATTTACATTATATATAGGTCTATATATATATACATATATAATTATTTATAATCATATTAACTATCTAGTGACGTCACTAACTATCTAGCAATATCACTAACTATCTAGTGACATCATTAACTATTTAGTGACATCATTAACTATCTAGCGACATCACTAACCATCTAGTGATGTCACTAACTATCTAGTGACGTCATTAACTATCTAGTGACATCATTAACTATCTAGTGACATCATTAACCATCTAGTGACGTCATTAACCATCTAGTGACATCACTAACTATCTAGTGACATCATTAACTATTTAGTGACATCATTAACTATCTAGCGACATCACTAACTATCTAGTGACATCATTAACTATCTAGTGACGTCATTAACTATCTAGTGACGTCATTAACTATCTAGTGACATCATTAACCATCTAGTGACGTCGCTAACTATCTAGTGACGTCATTAACCATCTAGTGACGTCACTAACTATCTAGTGACGTCATTAACCATCTAGTGACATCATTAACTATCTAGCGACATTATTAACCATCTAGTGACATCATTAACTATCTAGTGACATCATTAACTATCTAGTGACATTATTAACCATCTAGTGACATCACTAACTATATCTAGTGATGTCATTAACCATCTAGTGACGTCACTAACTATCTAGCGACATTATTAACCATCTAGTGACGTCACTAACTATCTAGCGACATTATTAACCATCTAGTGACATCACTAACTATCTAATGATGTCATTAACCATCTAGTGACGTCACTACGCACGTGACTGACCTCTCGTATGAAGACGTAGAGCGTGCCGGCGATTATGACGGCGGCGGACATGAGAACGCTCTTGATGAGAGACTTGGTGATCATCGCTTGCTTGGTGTTGCGCGGCGGCTGCCTCAGCACGTCGTGGTCCACCGGCTCCACGCCGAGGCTGCGGGGAAACAATGGTGAATGTAAGCAAACACGCACGCACGCACACGCACGCACGTATGCTTGGTGTTGCGCGGCGGCTGCCTCAGCACGTCGTGGTCCACCGGCTCGACGCCGAGGCTGCGGGGAAACAACAATGAATGTAAGCAAACATGCACACACACGCACGCGCATGCACGCACGCACACGCACGCACACGCACGCACGTATGCTTGGTGTTGCGCGGCGGCTGCCTCAGTACGTCGTGATCCACCGGCTCCACGCCGAGGCTGCGGGGAAACAACGGTGAATGTAAGCAAACACGCACGCACACGCACACGCACGCACACGCACGCACACGCACGCACGCACGCACGCACAGAGGAGAGCTGAGATCTGAAGACGAGATATGAGATGAGGAGAGGAGAGAGACCGGAATCGATGAACTCGAGATGACGAGCGAGAGAGAGAGAGGATGACGAGACACTTACCCATAGATTGAGAGGGAGAGAGAAGATAAGATGAGACCTCGATGAGAGCGAGAGGAGATGGAGATGAGAGAGGGAGTGGAGATGAGGTGGAGAGAGAGAGAGAGAGAAGATTAAATGACGATCCAGAGAGAGAGAGAGAGAGAGAGCATGCGCGTG